GAGAGAAAGAAAGGTTTTGCCCAGCCGAGAGGTGGAAGGGGAGGGAGGAAGGGAGGGGGAGGGGTAGGTGAGGTGGGAGGGGGGGGGAGGGGGTAGGATTCATGACACCAGGTCTATTGGCGAGACTGGCCAAGCGGCGGAGGGGGGGGGGGGGGGGTGGCACAGAGCCGTCGTGATTAAGATTTTCTGCATATTGCTCGCCTCTTTTTGCAGTCGGGAGGCAGAGAGGCAGCGCGCGGAGGATGGTAGGTGTGACAGAGCTCCGAAAGTGAATTGTTGTCGATAGTTCTTGCTACGACTATCTGGAAGAATTTTGGACTCTTTGTGACGGTATAAAGTGTCGGATATTGGCTTCTTTTAATGCAATATGAGTCCGGTTTCTGAACTCATTACACAAATGATATATGAACAGCAGAGGGTAATGTTGATGAACTTGTCAGATTCTGAAGTTTACATAAAGATGCCTTGATACAAAGTTAAAGTAGGAACTGCAGATATTCAAGTGCGTATATTTAAGTAAATTCTTATTTTCTTTTTCTTTTCTTTTTTTTTTTTTTTTTTTTTTTTTTTGCTTCACTGAACACCTAAAATTGTAAAAAAAAGTAAGATTGTGGATAGCATATTATTCCAAGCTAGAGCACCTTATAGAAAATATTCAGAGATGTTACACTTTCAAAAAGACTCATTAATAAAGAATATACATCCTTCCTGTTCTCTTTTTTAATCAACATTTACTCCTTAGTTTCATAACAAAAGTCTTTTTAAGGATATTGACCTGCAGTATGACACGCTATGGCCTGGTTCTCTCTATTCGCTAAACGTATTGCTATGTAGGATGGTTATGAAGAAAAATTACATTAACAAAAACGGAAATACAAAACGGTTTTTGAGGACGAGGCATTTATGGAATGAGGAAACAGTTCGTTACGGTGAGTTTTTGCTGCCCATCAGAGAAGAGAAATCATAATGCATTAGTCGTGTTCATCAGCAAGAGGGGGGGGGGGTGTGAGGGAGAGGCATAAACAGCATATTTCATAAATCAATTATTGATCAGATTCCTTTAATCATTAGCTTAAGGTCATATAAATGTATACATAAATACATATAAATATGCATCCATACATACATACAAACATACATACATACATAAATATATACATACATACATTTATATGAACAATAATACACATAATACACATACATATATATATATATATATATATATATAATATATATATATATATATATATATATATATATATATATATATATATATATATATATGATACACACAAGCACAAACACAATCACGTGAACACAAAAATGAAAATGAAACTAGCCACAATGAGAACTGAGAATAAGCGTGACGTTTCGAACTCTTCTCGAGTTCCTCTTCAGACAAAAACCGAAATGGATCATCCATTTCGGTTTTTGTCTGAAGAGGAACTCGAGAAGAGTTTCGAAACGTCACGCTTATTCTCAGTTCTCATTGTGGCTAGTTTCATTTCATTATATATATAATATATATATATATATATATATATATATATATATATATATATATATATATATATATATATATATATATATATATATATATATATATATATATATATATATATATATATATATATATATATATATATATATATATATATAATATATATATATATATATATATATATATATATATATATTATATATATATATATATATATATATATATAATATATATATATATTATATATATGTATATATATATATTATATATATATATATATATATATATATATATATATATATATATATATATACATATATATATATATACATATATATATATATATATATATATATATTATAATATATATATATATATATATATATATATATATATATATATTATATATATATATATATATATATATATAATATATATATATAATATATATATATATATATATATATATATATATATATATATATATATATATATATATATATACATATACATACATATATACATACGTACATACATTTATATGAACAGTGGTATATATACATACACACATATTATATATTATAATATATATATATATATATATATATATATATATATATATATTATATGTATATATAATATATATATATATATATATTATATATATATATATATATATATATATATATATATATATATTATATATATATATATATATATATATATATATATTATAGAGAGAGAGAGAGAGAAGAGAGAGAGAGAGAGAGAGAGAGAGAGAGAGAGAGAGAGAGAGAGAGAGAGAGAGAGAGAGAGAGCAGAAGAGAGAGAGAGAGAGAGAGAGAGAGAGAGAGAGAGAGAGAGACAGATATATATAGATATAGAGATACACACACACACACACAAACATACATGATACATGATATCAATAAGAAATTGTAAGATATCGTTGCCATTGGCATCCGCATCTGTTCACAAGAATCTCCATTAATTCATCACCTTCCTGTCATCACCATCACCACCACCATTCCTCTAGTTACAACCCACAGGGACGTTTCATCTGGAATAACACAAATGTTCGCTTTATTTCTTCCATTCGTCTTCCCGCTATAACATCTTTTCTAACTTTCTTACTCCACCCCTGCACCCCCCCCCCTCCAACCCCCCGCTCTTGCTCTACATCTTATCTTACCTTTTGGGGATTTTTTTATCACCATCAGTTCGACTCCCATAGCCATCCACAGCCGTTTTACCTAAAAAAACGTTATTCTTTTTTTTATCTTTGGTTTTCACTTATTTTGTCATGTCTAATCTATTCATTCGAATCAATAGCTTGCCTGAAATACAAACACTCACAGTTGATTTTGTAACAAGACTTTTGTTTTCAAGTCTTCTCAGTCACTATCATTCCCAATTATTTTTTTTTCCACAGACCTTATATCCACATTGTTTATAATTCCTCTCTTTTTTTCCCCAGTTCTACATTTCCTGCCCATCACTTTCCTATCCCTTCACCTCCCCACTTCAACTACTCTTCCCCACCTTAACCCACTAAATCACACTCTTTTCCAACCGATCCACTAACCCTTCACTATCTCTTCACCCTCATTTTCATCTGTCTGTCCACCCTATAGACATGTCCATATCACTTCGCCTTCCACTCAGCAATTTTCCTTAATCCTCCCACCCTTTTCTCCCCCTCCCCATGTGTGCACCTTCTCCTCACTCCCTTCACCATCCCTTCCAATCCTCCCCCTACCCCCTACCAGCCCTCTCATGCACGTTTCCTCACCATCTTTCCTGTCCCCTTTCTCCCTCATACCCATCCACCCTCTCCACCCTCATCCCAACTTGCTCCTCTCCTCACCATCCCTTCACTATCCTTTCCCACTTACCGGCCCTCCCTCCCTCTCTCCCTTCCCCACATATTCCTCCCCTCACCATCCTTTCAACATCCCTGCACAATCCTCCCCATACCCATCCCCCATCCCCCACCTTTCCCGCCAACATACCCCTCCCCTCACCATCCCTTCACCACCCTTCCCAACCCTGCCACCCCCACCCTCCACCCCACACCCTCAACATACCCCTCTCCTCACCATCCTTCCCACCTCACACCCTCAACATGTCCCTCTCCTCACCATCCTCTCCTCAGCCCCCACATACCCCCAACATACCCCTCTCCTCACCATCCCTTCCCAACCCTACCCACCCCACACCCTCAACATGTCCCTCCCTCCGCCCCCCACATACCCCACCCCCCTCCCTCCCCACCTTTCCCCCCTCCTCCACCCCCACATACCCCCACCATGCCCCTCCCCTCCTCCACCTTTCCCCCCTCCCCACCCCCCACATACCCCCACCATGTCCTCTCCTCACCCTCCCTCCTCACCCCCACATACCCCCACCATGCCCTCTCCTCACCCTCGCCTTCCCCCCTTTCCCACCCCACCCTCCACCCCCACATACCCCCCACCATGCCCCTCTCCTCACCCTCCCTCCCTCTCCCCCCCCCCCCCCGCCCCCAGCTCGCTCCACGCCGTCACGTCCCAGTCATCTGGCCGCGGACTTGTAAATTACCGAGGATTGATTTGCTGGACGTGAGAGCGCGGGGGACGGCGTGCGGCTGCGTCAGGGAGGTGGATTGGGATTGGGGATTGGATTGTGGATGGATTGTGGATTGTGGGTTGTGGATCATTGGATTGTGGATGGATGGATTTGGCTTGTGGATTTGTGGAATAAATAAGGGGTAGGATTGTGGATCATGGAGGGTGGATTGTGGATTGTGGATCAAGGAGGGTGGATTGTGGATCATGGAGGGTATTGTGGATCAGGGGGGTGGATGTGGATGTGGATTGTGGATCAGCATGAGGGGTTAGATTGTGGAGTGGATTGGGATGTGGATTGTGGGACGGGTTGTGGCATTGGAGGGTGGATGTGTGCTTATCATGGAGGGTGTGATTGTGGATTGTGGCGTTGTAGGATTGTGGATCATGGAGGGTGGATTGTGGATGTGATCATGGAATTGGGTGGATTGGATGATGGATTGTGGATCATGGAGGGTGGATTGTGGAATAATCAAGGGGGGCTGGATTGTGGAGGAGTGGATTGTGGATGGTATTGTGGAATAAGGGGGGGTGGAATTGTGGATTCAGGAGGGTGGATTGTGGATGGAGTGATGTGTGGATTGGTTGGATTGTGGATCAAGGGGGTGGATTGTGGATCATGGAGGGATGGAGGTGGATGTGGATCAAGTGATTGTGGATCATGGATTGGAGGGTGGATTGTGGATCAAGGTGGATTGTGGATTGGATCATGTGGATCATGGAGGGTGGATTGTGGATCATGGAGGAGGATTGGTGGATGGATTGTGGATCATGGAGGGTGGATTGTGGATGAAGGAGGGTGGATTGTGGATCAAGGAGGTGGATTATGTGGATCAAGGAGGGTGTGATTGTGGATCAAGGAGGATGGATTGGAGCAAGGAGTGGATTGTGGATCAAAGAGGGTGGATTTGGATCCAAGGGAGGGGTGGATTGTGGATAAAGGAGGGTGAACTGTGGATTGTGGTTTAAGGAGGATAGTTTGTGAATCAAGAATGGTGGATTATGGGTCAGGGAGGGGTGGATTGTGGATTGTGGATTGTGGATCAAGGAAGGGGTGTAGTCTGGGATAAATGAGAGTGGATTGGGATGAAGGAGGGTGGATTGGCGGATCAAGAGTGATTGTTGCTTGTGATAAAGGAGAGTGGATTGTGGATTGCAATTCAAGGAGGGTTGGATTGTGGAATTGTGGATCAAGGAAGTGCGAGGTGTGGATTGATGAAGAGAGGTGGATTGTGGATAAAAGACGAGAGGATTGTGAATCAAGGAGGGTGGATTGTAGATGAAGGAGGGTGGATTGTGGATCAAGAAGAGAGGATTGTTGAATCATGGAGGAGTTGGATTGTGGATCAAAGAGGGTGGATTGTGGATCAAGAAGGAGAGGGATTGTGGATGAAGGAGGGGGATTGTGATGAAGAAGGTGGATTGTGGATCAAGAAGAGAGGGATTGTAAAATGGAGGATTGTTGGATGAAGAAGGGTGGGTGGAATGAAGTGGGATCAAGAAGAGAGGATTGTGGATCAAGAAGAGTGGATTGTGGATCAAGAAGAGAGGATTGTGAATCAAAGACGGTGGACTTGTGAATTGCAGAGCAATGAGTGCGGACTGTCGATTGTGGATCAAGGAGGGTTAATTGTGGATTTTTAATTGTGGATCAGCTTGGGAATTGTCGTGGATTGTGGATTATAGATTGTGGATTGTGTTAACAAGAGTGGATTAGGGTTATGGTTCGTAGATCAGAAGGTGGTGGATCAGGTAATAGTGGATTAGTGACGCGTGGATTGGAGATTTTGGTTACGGATTGTGGATAATGGTTTCATAGTAGGACGAGTAGATTAGAGTTATATTTCGTGGATCAGCGGTTGATGGATCGTGGATTGTGGATCATGTGGATTATAGACTGTGGATTATGTGAATTATGTGGATTATGGTAAGAAGAATTGGTTAGGATCGATGAAATATGGATCATGGTTCATAAAGGTTCATGGATCAGGAAGTGGTGGATCGTGAACTGCGGATTAGTTTCATGCAAGGATAACTGATTTAAGGATTAGGGATTATAGCTCGTATATTATGGCTCGCGGATTATGGATTGTGGATTATGGATCACGGTAGCAAAGTTGGATTAGGGATGGTGGCTTATGGGTGGTGGATTACAGTCTGGTGGATTCTAAGCTTTGGGTCATGGTTATGGAACATGAATCACAGATATTGGATTGTGGATTATATGAGTGAATCATGGAACTTACATCATTAAAATTGATTATAATGATTATGGGTTATAGATCGTGTCTCGTGGTTCGTGGATTTTGGGTTGTGGATCAGAGTATGGATTGTGGATTAAGAGTTATGTGTAGAACGTGGATGATAAATGGCGAGGGATAATCATGGATTAGAAGTATTTAATTGGATTTCTTGTTGATATTTTGGATTCTCATTATTCGCTTTTTTGGTTCCGTGGATTGTGTCATTGGGATTTCATTTCATTGTTGGCTGGTTCGCGTTTTTTTTAGTATTATCATTTATTTCTTTTCTTTTCTTTTCTTTTCTTTTTTTATTATTCATTTATTTATTTTATTTCATTTTTATTGTTTTTATTATTATTATTATTATTATTTTTTCTTTTTTTAATTATTTCGTGCATTTTTAAGGATTTCGTTTTATGATTATTTTTTTCATTTCATTTTATCATTATTTTATTTATCATTATTATCATTTATTTTTCTTTTTTTAAGTTTCGTGCATTTTTTAAAGGATTTCGTTTATAAATATTTTTTTCAATCATTTTATTACTGTTTTATTTATTATTATTATCATTTATTTTTCTTTTCTTTTTAAGTATTTCGTGCATTTTTTAAGGATTTCGTTTTACCATTATTTTTTTCATTTTATTATTATTTATTTCTCATCATCATTATATCATTTATTTTTCTTTCTTTTTTTTAAGTATTTCGTGCATTTTTAAAGGATTTCGTTTTATAATTATTTTTTTCAATTTCATTTTATTACTGTTTTATTGATTATTATTATCATATATCACCTATTTTTTTTTTTTAAGTATTTTTTAAGTATTTCGTGCATTTTCTAATGTTTGTTTTCTTTTCCTTTCTCGATCGGTTATTCTCCTTTGTCATATTCTTTTCGTGCGAACTCAAAGGAAAAAACCTCATTCGTTTTGGTTCGTATTGTCAAACCTCAGACTCGACTCTCTTATTCTCCTCAATTATGCCTCCTTTTATCTCCCTACTCCATCTCTGTCTCTCCTCACTCCTCCTCGTTCTTCTCCTCCTCTTCCCTCCCTTCCTCCCCTCGGTTCTCCCTCACTCCCCTTCTTCTCTTTTGGATCATCTTTATTTTCCTTCTTCCTCATCCTACTCTTTCCTCGCTTTTCTACACCCCTTCGGCTCACCCCCCCCCCCCTCTCACTGCTTGTACCCCACCCCCTCCCCTCTATCACCCACCCCCTCTCTCCCTCACCTTCCCCCTACTCCCCCTTTTCCTTACCCCCTTACTTTTTACTTCCCCGCCCAAACCCCCCCTACTTCTCCTCACTCCTTCCCGTTCCATCTTCGCGACTGGAGTGATTTTCTTCATCTTCCCCAAATCTTCTTCCACTCCTCTCCCGCTCCTTTTCT